CTGTCTGTCTGTGTTTGTCTGTCTGTCTCCTGCACGTCTATCTATCCATCTATCTATCTATCCATAATAGTGATAATGATAATAATAATAATAATAATAATGATAATAATAATAATAAAAATAGTAAACAATGATGGTAATGATGATGATAATAACAATAATAATAATAATGATAATAATAACAATAATAATAATGGTAATAAAAAAAATGACATTGATAACGATAATGATAATCACAATAATACAAATAACAATGATGATAATGATGATAATGATATTAATGATAATAATATTAATAATATCAATAATAATAAAAACAATAATAACATTAGTAATGATAATCATAATCGTAATAATGTTAATAATAATGCTACTGCTATTATTATTACTATTGATAATAATGACAACAATAATAATGATAATGACGATAATGATAACCATAATAGAATAATAGAATATAACAATAAAAACAATAACAATAATAGTAACAATAATAAAAGTTGATATAACAATAACAACAGCAACGACAATAATTATGATAATAATAATGATAATGATAATAATAATAATGATAATAATAATAATAATAGCGATGACAAAAATATCTATCACCATCGTTATTATCATTATTATCATTATCATTCTTATTATCATTATCATTATAATTACTGTTATCATTATCATTATTTTTATCATTATCATTATTATCATTATTGTTATCTTTATTATTACTATCATTATTACAATAATCATTATTACTATTATCAACAATATTATTATAATCATCACCATTATTATTGTCATCACTATTATTATTATTATCATTATTGTCATTATTATCTCTATTGATAAAACTTGAAAGAGATATGCAACGATAGAAACAGTGATAACGATAATCTTGATAACATTAATAACAATCTTGATAATACTACTACTAACACTAATAAAAGCAAAAATAATAACATTGATGATAATAAAGATAATAATAATGATTATAATAGTAAAGATAATAATAATGATTATAATAATAAATATAATAATAATGATCATAATAATAAGGATCTTAATAATAAAGATAGGAATACTGATTATAATAATAATAATAATAATAATAATAATAATAATAACAATAATAATGATCATAATAATAAGGATCATAATAATAAAGATAGGAATACTGATTATAATAATAATAATAATAATGATCATAATCATAATATTAATGATAATAATAATAACAACTATAACAATGAAGATGATGATAATAATAATGATGATAAGAACAATAATGATAATAACAACTATAACAACAATGTAAGTAGTTGCAGTTGTAATGTCATATTACTTATATATATATATATATATATATATATATATATATATATATATATATATATATATATATATATATGTGTGTGTGTGTGTGTGTGTGTGTGTGTGTGTGTGTGTGTGTGTGTGTGTGTACGTGTGTGTGTGTAATCTTCACATCATCCGAAAACCGGATCAGCCAAATCAAATTCTTGCTTCTAGATCTCAATGTCTTCTTTAATTAAAACCTATTGAGTCTCACCGAGGTCTTCAACGGTCCTCAGTAGCAACACGAAATGGAATCTTTCACTGTGCATCGCAATTTGACCTTTCTAACCTCTCCTTTTTTCTTCTTCTTCTTTTTCCTTTTTCCTTTTTTTTTTCTTTTTTCTTTTTTTGAATTCGAAATGACGTTGTAAGAAAGTCCATTCGGTCTTGCGGATGCCATTACGGAAAGCGACATAAAGAAGAACTCACCGCGTCGGCATCACTTTCCTCCCCGCCATAAAGGCTCTCGCGATGGCAATACCGCTCGAGTCTATGAATGACTTGCTCTTAGGTAAGGACGTTTTTTCACTTTTTTTCAAGATGTAACGTGTTTATTACTTCGAAAAAAAAAACTCGAAAAAATATCCGTCCTGATACTCTCGTTGTAAAAGTTTAGACGTCTCTTTTTCAAACGCTACAGCTAAGAGGGATTATTCAATAATACATCGAAAAGGTCCTCGTTGGCAACTCAAGTGTCGAATTGGTTAGTATTGACGTTTGGTCACGTGATCGATACGTCTTACAGACATTCTCTATTAATACATATATTGTTTTGGAGGCGATTGGATAACGAAGTAAGAGAAGTTTGAAACATTACAACGTCCGTTTATGAAGATAGTGGTACCTAAGAAACATGCGCGGACACACAATCATCCACTCAGAACAAACAAACAACCAAACACACACACACAGGCAAAAGATTAAAAAGGAAAAACAAAT